ACTTTTATTGATGCCAAGATAGGAGGATGCCCAAGCCACTCATGGAGAAGTATTATGGCAGCTCATGACATGGTGGTGGCACGGGTGCGCAGGAGGATAGGGGATGGTAAAACGACACTAATCTGGGGACACCCATGGTTACCTGATAATCCTAGCCCTTTGGTACAGACTAATACGCCTGTGGAGCTCAGGCATGCTAAAGTGGTAGGTTTAATAGATGAACAAACTGCTACCTAGGACTCACATATTTTAGCAGACTTATTTGATGAGGATGATGTGAGTAGAATACTGAGGATACCTGTCAGTCCGGGATATGAGGACTCATGGTATTGGCCCGATGACCCCAATGGGGTATATACGGTTAAAAATGCTTACAAGAACATTATGGAAGACTATCGAATTGCTTGTCACCGTTTATGGCAGAGGCTTTGGCATGTAAGGAAGCTCTATCCTGGCTATTGGAAAAGAATATAACAACAGTATCCCTTCAAACAGACTGTTTACAACTCAGGAATGCTATATGACAGAGATCAGCTATCATAATGTCCTATGTTGGAGTAATAGTAGACCAATGTAGGAATTTAATTTCGTCTTTTAATTATGTCTTGTTAAATCATATTTCTAGGCAGATTAACGCGCATGCGGATACGTTAGCTTCGTTAGCTTTTGTTCAGGATCAAGCTATGTATTGGGATTATATCCCCCAGACTGCATTGCAGCTTTGATTCATTAATACAATCATTCATTGGTTGGCTTTCAAAAAAAAAAGTTTTATTTTTTTTAATAGTTAAAGTTTTACATTTAGGCAAAATACACATTGAGTTATAAGGCAAGTGTAATTTTCATCTCTAATTAATATAGGAGTTAATTACCTATTTGGCCCCTCGACTATTAGGATTTCACCACTTTAGTCCTTGATTTTTAAAATTGTCCAATTTCATCCTCGACTATGAAAACGTTAACCAAAATGGTCCTCAGATCAGTCTGTTTTACCATCTAAATGCAAGGGTAAAATAGGAAGTTCCAATATTCTTCATCTTCCATACAATACCTATATTTTCTTTGCATTCTCACCAGCCATGGAGATGACGAAACCACCAGACCCACCCGAAACAGCCACTGAAATTGGCCTCCGTTTCATTATATAGCACATAAAGTTATGGTACTCATATTGCTCAATAGACACCAATACACCATTTGTGATTCTGAGTCAAGTGTGAGACAAAGATGGCTAACAGTCTACTGTTCAAGAGGCAACACAACAAGACATCAACTGGAGATCAACACTGCTTTCGCTTCCGCTCCTCCCACCTCCATCCAATTTCACTTTGCCACTCATTCACCACCCGTGTTTCCTCATTCCAATTGCTATTAAGCAGGGTGTCCAACTCCTTGAGAAATTTGTCTTCAATCCACTAACCTCTCTAGATGCTTGTGCTTTAATTTGGCCATTGCGCACCAAGGTTTTGGTCCCTTTCTGCAAAAACCATATGATTGAAGTGATCCCTTATAAGAGCTTTTATGACCCTCTTTTAGATAGTAGCTAGGGGCCTAGGGCACCAACGTTCATTGCTCCTCTAGCATACTTAGGCCTTACAAGTCTAGCTCAAAGGCTATCTTTTTGGGTAAGAAGCCTACAACCAATTTTGTCTAGGGGGGCCATATTCATATACTTGGAGTTGAGAAAGCCTAGTCCTCGTCACTCTTTGGGGCTTGTAACCAATTCCCAACGCACAAGATGGCATTTTCTTTTGTCTCGGTGCTGTACCATAAGAAAATCCTAATTTTCTATCAATGAGATCATTGTTATGAAACAAAACAATATATGTGGATGTCCAAACTAAGACTCAAACTCAAGATCTTCTACAAAAAAAAAAAAAAAAAAAAAAAAAAAAAAAAAAAAGATAAAGTCTCCTTCCACTAAACTACCAGCTCAACAATAATAAGAAAAGATAAGGGGTAATACAGGTTCCAAGAAAAACTACAAGCTGGAGTCAAACTCATGACCTATAGAGGTGGCATGACGCCTAATCTACCAACTAGACTAGTCTCAACATCTATATACACTAAGCAACATATAATATTTGTTTATTATCAGTCTGGTGCTATAAATACCTATCACCCCCTTATGTAAATCATCTGAACATATACGAATAAATATATATATACAGAGTCCATCTTTTCCATCTCCAATCTGCTATTCACATATATTATATATATTACTATCATTGTTATTATTATTAAATTTATAACAATCACAAATGCTTATTGAGATGAGGGTTATCTGCTTCGTATAATAGGGTATAGTGCAAAGTGTATCTTGCGCAAATACGAGGCGTCCCACAAGGGTTAACATTTTCCTTTTCCGCTCCTCCAATTTGTTGTTCAGACGATCAATAAGTTGGCCAAAAAGATTGGTTTTCACCCTAGAATAAGGGATCCCATAGGTATCTCCCTAGTTCTATATGCTCTTCGGATCCCTACTCTCTTCTCAATTTTATGTGCACCTCCTTGCTCATTCACTTAGAGAAGTAGATATGAAACTTGTTAAGGCTCTCTCGTTGCCTAGAAAAAATGTCCAAGCACTCATTGATAATGTGGACATGCTTCTGCTATGCCTCAGGGAAAAAAAAAACACCAAATCATCAACAAAAAATAAATGGGAGAGGATGGATATATACCTAGAGATCGAACAAAATGCCTTTCCGTTTGTGCTTGTTCACTGCTTCCAAATCACTTGGTAAACCTTTTGACGTCTAAGACAAAGAGGTAGGGGGATCCCTTGTCTTACTCCTCTGCTCGACTTTATTCACTCAAGATTTTCACCATTACACAAGATAACATGCCTACCATTTTGAACACATCACTTGATGTATGTTCCTGACCCACCCTTCATTCACTACAAGAAAAATGCACATAGACAACGGTTATTAACCGTTGTCGTAGGGGTATAATTTCTGTTGTTGAAGCCAGTGTTGTTGTAAGTCCCGCGCATAGACAACGGTTTTTTAACCGTTGTCTTTTCTAGAAACAACAACGGTTTTTTAACCGTTGTCTATTCAGTGTTGTTGAAGCCGGTGTTGTTGTAAGTCACGCACATAGACAACGGTTAATAACCGTTGTCTTTTCTAGAAACGACAATGGTTTTTTAACCGTTGTCTATTAAGTGTTGTTGAAACCGGTATTGTTAAAAGTCACGCACATAGACAACGGTTATTAACCGTTGTCTTTTCTATAAACAACAACGGTTTTTTAACCGTTGTCTATTAAGTGTTGTTGAAGCCGGTGTTGTTAAAAGTCACGCACATAGACAACAGTTATTAACCGTTGTCTTTTCTACCAACGACAACGGTTTTTTAACCGTTGTCTATTAAGTGTTGTTGAAACCGGTGTTGTTAAAAGTCACGCACATAGACAACGGTTATAAACCGTTGTCTTTTTTACCAACAACAACGGTTTTTTAACCGTTGTCTATTAAGTGTTGTTGAAATCGGTGTTGTTAAAAGTCACGCACATAGACAACGGTTATTAACTGTTGTCTTTTCTACCAACGACAACGGTTTTTTAACCGTTGTCTTTTAAGCGTTGTTGAAACCAGTGTTGTTAAAAGTCACATACATAGACAACGGTTTTTAACTGTTGTCTTTTCTTTAAAAGACAACAGTTATAAATTGTTGTCTATTGTGTGTTGTTGAAATCGCTTTTGTCACACCCATAAACTGTTGTCTTTTGTAGAAAAGTCAACGGTTTCTAACTGTTGTCTATTGTAAAATAGACAACGGTTTTTAACCGTTTTTCAACTGCTTAAATTATAATCATATAAAAAAAAACAATTTATCCATTCACCATATGTTTCAAAGTGTAGTTACATAATTGTGCACAAGCTAATAAGGTTCAAAATAACAAGTCAAAAGACTTCCATGACCAATTCTAATTATCATCCAAGTCATAATACTACTACACAAAAAATAATTCCCCGAACCAATTCAAGTCCAAATAATCACAACGTTCTAATGACCAAATCATACCTACTCTATATGACTTGATAGAATATCGGCCCATTCAGAACGCACCATATCAATAACCGCTCTGTCATAATCAACTTGTTGAAACTACATGTAAAAAGTAAGAAAATAAATTAGTATAGATATAAATAATTTGCAATGAAATGCAAAATAAGTTAGGAGTAATTCGGAAAGCTCTCCAATCTGGAAGGTTATAGTACAGAAAAGCTAGATAGGAAACACTAAAATGGCAACTTGCTAGACAGGAAACTAAAATGGCATACTAGAGTCTATTCATGTAGAGTAAAATCAATGCATTGGCAATACAAATCTCTTCCTCAAGGCCCAAGCAAAACAAAACACATCCTCTATATAATGCCACTGCAACCAAGAACTTGACAATCTGGATTGATGAGAATCCTAATTTGCTCTTTAACTGTATGCAAATACTATCAAGTCAAATAGGCTCTATACCAAAGTTGGTTGACTTGTTTCTATATTCTGCCATATTTCCATGAAAAAGATCAAATCTTTGTAATTGAGTGTTTATAAGCCGGCCGGATTTTGACACTTAACACCAAACCACAAAGATTAAGCACACTTTAGTTTATAAGACAAACATGATTAAATAAAAGCTTCACATTATATTTCTGCCATAGCACCATACATTAAGATAAAATTAAGACTTCTTGAACGATACTACATTGAAGTGCAAAATCAAACCAACAAAGAGAACTATATTGCAGTAAAATACTTGGACTATACTATTTTGTGTACTTTGAACCTGCAGATATACTATTGTAGGTTTCCCTTAAGGAAAAGTTTCTTCTTGATGTGTCTTTGTAGATGATACTTATCCACTTCTACTGCTCCCAGTTACCCACTGATAGTTGATAAACAACAGGTTTTCTTATTACTGCCCTCAACTTAGTTAAGTGTTATCTACATTAGTTGAGATTATTCATTAAATACTTACTATGTTCTGTATAGGCGGTTTGTTTGGATGCTTGCAAGAAGCTCCATGAGATAGGAACATTTACTGATATGCTCTTGCCAGATAAGGGAAGTGGCACAGAATCTGAAAAGGTTGAGGAAAATGATGAAGGTGATCCCCTTCCTGGAACTGCCAGGCATAGGGAGTTTTATCCTGAAGGTGTAGCTGACATTCTCCGGGTTAGTTTCACTTAGTTTTGTTTTTTTGCTTTTTGCTTTTTGCTTTTTGTTTCTGTTTTTCCTTGTTTGACACTTCTGAACAGGTATTGGCCAAAATAATTAGGTGGTAGAAATTGAAGGGGAAGAAGAAAACCCCACAGGATCATTTTCTGATGCTCATGATGTGTGATGACTTAATAAGATCTATTGTAATTACTTGCAAAGCAGACACAATTGTCTATATAGTATTTTTCTTGTAGGTGAAGTCATTTTTTTCTAGTGAATTCTTTTTTTAGGTCCATGCAAATGAAATTAAATGTATTCCAAAGTTCCAAAGGGTCTAAAGTTGCAACTTGCAGCTCAATGACAAGTTTCTTATGCAGCACTTTGCACTTTGACAAATAAACAACTCGAATACAATGCGAAAAAAATCAAATATCACAGTTTGGTGCAGAGTTTAAATTACAAGGTTCTTTATTTTGTAGTTTAAATTTATTTGTTATAGTAAAAATCATTAAACAGATGATATGAAGAACAAAGTTGTCTCTCATTCTCAAAGACTTAAAGTGTATATATACACACGATGAAGCTAGAATAGGAAAGGAAGCACTAGCTCATGAAAAAAGGATTCGAAAAGAACTTGAGAAACAGGATCTTTTAAGGAGAAAGGTATATTTTTATGTTCCTTCAAACCTTTGGATTTTATTATTATTATTTTATTATTTATTATTATTATTATTATTTTTTTGCAACTACTTTCTGCAATTTTACTTTTGAAATCTGAAACAATTTTCTTTTCTCACTTAAGAGGGAAGAACAAGTGAAAAAGGAAATGGAAAGACTGGATCGTGAGAGAAGGAAAGAAGAACAAAGGCTAATGCGTGAACAACAGAGGAAGGAAGAGAGGTTTCAACGTGAGGAAAAGCGTGAAATGGAAACACGAGAGAAATTTTTGCAGAGAGAGCTTTTGAGGGTATGTTTGAGGGCGGTTTTATTTTAGTTTCTCTCCTTAAACTTCTGCTATATTCAGTGGCTGATAGCTACCATATTTCTTGTATATTGAGTCCAGGCTGAGAGGAAAAGACAGAAAGAAGAGCTTCGCAAAGAGAGGGAAGCAGCAAAACAGAAGGCTGCTATGGAGAGGGCAGCAGCACGGAAATTTGCTAAAGAAACCATGGAGTTAATTCATTTGTTTACACATTATCAAAATATACATGTTTGTTTGACTAAAAAGAGCATAGCAGATTACAAAGTAACCAGTTGAGGAAGCATAACTAGGACAGCAAGGCTATGAAGCCATGTGTTGTAGAAAATTTAGGGAATAAGAAAATTCAACGATCAAGAACAAGCAAAAGATTGCAACATCACTGTCACTGTATCAAGCACGGATCCTCAGAGTTTCTAGTGAAGAGTTAATGAGTAATTGCAAAAATTATTATGCAATAGCCAATAGAAAAAGCAAGCAAGGAGTTGATAATCAATCAAGGATATGCAAACAACTGAAACACAAAACACACCTAGTAATATATACTTGTATACACCTGGTAATACAGAGTTGTATAAAGAAGACAAGGATTTTGGTTTAAAAATTGCATAATATCTAATACTCCATAGCCAAGTTCGGTTGTGAGGGAGTTGGAAAAATTACTGCAAAAACTATTGTCAGTACAAAACAGAAGAGACAAGGAAGCAATAATTTGATTATCAATCTGGGATATGTAAACAACTCAAACACAACATAATACTAGCAATATAGACTTGTATACCGACAAGGATTTTTGGTAAAAAGAAAACATGTAGTATCTAAATGCCAAGCCAGGGGGAATCAGAACTTGGAACATCAACCTTGATGAGCTGAAATCTTATATTCATGGTGGATGATACACTCTGAAGATAGATGACATGAAAAATATGCACAACTGTGTATCACAGAGACATAGACAGACCTCCAACATAGTATCATAAGAAACAACAGGGAAACTCAGGACAAAGTTCACATCATCAGTGTCCTTTGACTCCCTTCATATGGATAAAACACCCCAAACAACTACAGCCTATTCAAGCAATTCAACACTATAAAATTTCCAGGAGTAGTCCACATATTTCAAGGTTTCTTCAGGTAAAGAAACCCAAACAGAACCATCCACTGATTCATATATAATATAGACACACACACTGTATTAAAAGCTTTTAACTAAAGAAAGCTCAAAACTGCAAATTCAAACTTTCAAAGAAGACATTTTAATATTTCTACCTCACGCAAAGCTCAAGGTAATACAATTAATTTAGGGAGTAAGAAAATTCACAACCTAATAATCCAACAATTAATCTAGGGTTTAGGACTAACCTGTAGGTTTGTGATGGGGAATCCAACGGTGGAAGAGTAGGGAGGAGGAGATGGCGGTAGAGGAGGGAAGAGGTGTAGGTTGAGAGCGACGCTGACGGGAGACGGCGGCGCAGCTGACCGCGGAGGGCTTCTGTGTTGTCGACGGCGACGTGGACTCAGCGACGGCGACTGCGGAGAGCTTCTCTGTTGTCGACTTCCACCCAGGCTCAGCGACGGCGACTGTGGAGAGCTTCTCTATTGTCGACTTCCACCCAGGCTCAGCGACGGCGACTGCGGAGAGTGGCGGTCGGCGGAGTTTGATGGAGTTGTATCTGAACGAGTTGTTGTCTGATATGAGAGGGAAATTTTGTCTGTGCGAGTTGTTGTCTGATCGGAGAGTGGCGGTCGGCGGAGTTGTTGTGCGAATTTTTGTCTTAGAGGGAAAGACAAAAATTTCATTCCCAATTTTGTTTTAGAGGGAAATTTTGTCTTAGAGGGAAATTTTATCTTAGCTTAGAGGGAAATTTTGTAACAAAATTTTAGTTTAATTAATTACTTGGGTCGCTACATCCGGTTAATTAAAATAGTTCCGGGTATATAGGTACAAAACACGAGATTCATAGATTTCTATAATGTAGTTAGATTCATAATAATTTCTATATAGTATATTTCTAATTTAAATACAGTTGTATAGATTAATAATTTCTATACAGTAAATTCATAATTTCTATACTGCAGATTCATAATTTCTGTATTGTTGATTGATAATTTCTAAACTGTATAGTTATCAACAATTGGAAATATGCATTTCAATTCAAAAATTATGAATATATAGTTTGGTATTTATGAACATAAAGCTAATTAAGATCGCGGCAAAAGAAATGGGATATAGCTAACTGTACAGCATCGATCAACTACTCTTTCATATTCATTCTCAATGTGTCCCAGGCATGCCGGAAGGGTCGATTACCAACATATAGCTAACCTTGTTAGTCATGCGCTAGCCGGAAGGGTCGATTACCAACATAGCTAACCATGTTAGTCATGCGCTAGTCGGAAGGGTCGATTACCAACATATAGCTAACATTGACAGTCACTAGCCGGAAGGGTCGATTACCAACATATAGCTAACCTTGTTAGTCATGCGCTAGCCAGAAGAGTCGATTACCAACCTCGGCCCCTATCATACCGCCCGTAACCCTACACATCATACCGCACCATTATTGTTTTTTATACTTGATAATTATTATTGTTTTTTAATTCCTAGATTGGTCTTAATTGTAATATAATTAAAAATAAAACTTTAATAATGAATTATTTTGAAATTTTGGTGAATAATTTTATATATTTAAATATGAACGAAAATAGAACTATTAAATTAACTTTTGAATTGTATTCTTTCTTTGTTAAATTATAGGTAAAAGATAAGGTGTAACACTTTAATACATAAGAGTTGGTGTGGCTTGGTGGATTTAGTTTTGTTTGTTATGTTATGTTAAAGGTCTTGGGTTCTATCCTTCGTGGTGGTATTCTTAACCTATTTTATACAATCATTGTCTTGGTTCTTAAAGACAACACATAAACAAACTGGTAATATACTAGATGTTGCACTCAAGTACACAAGTGTTGGTGTGTCTTGGTGGATTTAGTTTAGTTTACTATGTTAGAGGTCTCAAGTTTTATTCTTTTTGGGGGGAATTCTTCAACTATTTTCTAAAATTGTTGTTTTGGTTTTCACAAACAAAACAGAAGGAACCCAGTTATATACCAGATGTTGCACCTTTAGAAATAAGAGTTGTTGTTGCTTAGTTGGTTAGACTGCTTGCTTGTTAAGTTTGAGGTCATAGGTTCGACTCTTGTTGTTAACATCCTAGTTTTTATTTTATATACCTGTTAAATAATAATGCGCAAAGACAACAGAATTTTTAAAATCGTTGTCTTTGTAGTGTTGTGTATTTAAATACGCTTAAAGACAACATACCAAAGACAACGGTTAAATAAAACCGTTGTCTTAAACAAATAAAGAACACGCAACGACAACGGTTATATAAAACCGTTGTCGTTATAGTGTTGTGTATTCGAGTGCGCTTAACGACAACACACCAACGACAACGGTTAAATAAAACCGTTGTCTTTTTTTAAAAAAAGAGCACACAAAGACAACGGTTGTTTACAACCGTTGTCTATCTAGTGTTGTGTATTCCATTGCGCTTAAAGACAACACACCAACGACAACAGTTAAAAAAACCGTTGTCTTATTTAAAAAAAAACGCACATAGACAACGGTTTTAAAAAACCGTTGTCGTTGTGGTGTTGTCTTTTCACAAAATACACAAAGACAACACACTTATAACAACGGTTAAGTAAAAACCGTTGTCTTTGACAAAAGTGTTGCATCAAAGACAATAGTTTTGGACTAAACTGTTGTCTTTTATACAAAAGACAACACTTTTCTTAAAAACTGTTGTCTTTCTAATGTTGTCTATGTGCATTTTTCTTATAGTGATTGAAATTGACGCCTTGGAGAGTATCTTATATGAAGTCCCAAGATAGGCGATCACTTCTGTGCCCATAGATTCCCGCATTTGAACCAACAAGGTGGACCCCTCGTATTCAATTAATCTTTAGACATTCCCTCTTAACTCAAATCGCACAGGAAGTGTCTTAGTGATCTTCCCTCATGACACCAGAAGGCTCATGGCATCATCTATTTTCTTTGGTTTTCCAAATTTTGCTGCTATCTCGAACAAGACGATATGATTATAGTACTCGATTATATTGATAGCCCCGAGAACCTTACCCACACTAGACGGCCTTTCCTCGTATGGTCCTTCATGGAGTAAAAAGTTAGAGATCAGACCCACTCCTTAACTATTAGGTAATTATTCCAGATCTTCAATTCCATCAACATTCACAGATCTTCCAACTTTGGGAAGTTGTAGTTGTGAACAGATGAGAGTTGAAGTTTACCAGAAAGCTAAGTATTCGTTTTCCAATGTCACTAACTCCATTATCCTAGATTTTGGTCTCTGGAGGACAGTACGTGATTCTCCTCAAGAGATATGTGTAGCCCATCTTCCTGACCATCATGCATAATCAGGGATTGCCTCAAAGGTTTGCGGAGCCAGGATTTCTCTTCTTTAGTTTGGATAGTTTGATCATCGGCCATTCTTAGCTTGGTACGTCATCCTCCCTTTCCTAATCTTCCTCGCTTCGTCATCTTCGTCTAGACAATCCTGTTCCCTCTCGCCAGTCCCCACGAGGACATTCCAGTAAGTGGTGATAATCCCTTTGGCCCTCGAGACTTCCCCTTCCGAACTTGCATCTTCCCATAGCGGTACGGTCTTCATTCTCCAAAGAGAGACCAACAATAACTTTCAACTCCATAACATTAACCTATATATATCCGTAAATGCGTGTCTAAGTGTTAAATAATGGAGAAACGTCCACTCCAACATCACTAAATTAAATAAAGTAGACACTTCAAAAAACATGAGGAGTGTGGTTGAATTGAAGGGATTCATCCATCATCATTGGCTTTGAGTATGAAAAATGCCAGGTTTAAATTTCAGACCAACTGTCCCATCCAAAAGATGTGTCTATAATTCAGTGAGCCGCAAAGAAATTAATCACTGACAATGGACATTAAACTCTGGGTACATTAAATTAAGAAAAAATAAAAATTAGACACTACAAAAACTCACCAAAATATTTGTCAAAGAAAATTGCATACCATATAAAGGTCAATCACACAACAAAGATAACAATATCAATAAGTAGCATTTTTCATCCTAAATGCTGCGAATGGAAACACTAAATTACAATTTAAGAGATTAAAACTTACAATTTGGTATTTCTTTTGATCCCAATAATTTCTTACTACATATTGGAGATTATTTTCGTTGAAAATTTTGTCAATTTTGGATTAAAAAAATAGA